ATAATCACTCTTATTTTAATTCTGTATAGTTTTCTAAAATCAAACTTCCTTTAAATTTGAAAAATGATTTTAGATTCAAGCTTTAATGATTTACAAATTCTCCGTTCAAGATTAAAGCTCCTTATGCATCAAAATTGGGATTTTAAGAAATTCTTAAAACCGTAATAATAGAGGTTGCTAAAGATATACGGATTAAATACCACTTTATGGAAGACCATTATTAATAATTGTTGAAGATTAAAATTATGCTTGAGTATCTTTTTAAAAATTATCTGAAAATAATATTTTTTATGCTGTCGAAACATCCCAGAAACGAATAGAGTTATCTCCACTACCAGATGCTAATGTAGTACCATCAGGAGTAAAACAGACTGATCTAACATCATCCGAATGACTATCTAATACTATTTTTTATTATCCTGTTTTAACATCCCAGAAAAGAATTGATCTATCGCTACTACAAGATGCTAATGTTGTTCCATCAGAAGAGTAACAGATTGATATCATTGCTTTTGAACTACCATCTAGTTTAAGAATTTATTTTCCTGTCCTAAGATTCCATACATACACAAATGTGCCACTACATGAAGCTAACGCAGTACCATTTGAAGAGAAACATACTGATTTTACCTACCTCTTTCCTTATAAAACATATTTTCTTTTTTCTGTCTTAACATCCCACAAAATAACATAATTATCATCACTACAAGAAGCTAATGACTTCTCATCTGGAGAAAAGCAAACTTAATTGACAATATCAGCATGACCATTCATCTCAATTCCCTCATTTATCCCTAAATTCCTCCACTTACAATTGAATAATTTGGCTTAATTCAAATTCACTCCACTAATAATGACATTTTCAAATTCAGATCCGCTTAAGTCACATCTTACTAAATTTGCTCCTATTAAGGAAGTATTTCTTATCTTAATATTCTCAAAACATGATTCCTTCAAATCAACTTTCATTTAAACTAATAAATGAAGAGAATTTGATCCACACTATATGTATCTCTCATCAAAGGCAGTAAGATGAACTAAGAATTTTATAAATTTTGTAATCTTCTTATCCAATGATATTTTTATGATGAGATCTTTTTTAATTTCTTTATAATTTTCTCTCGAGTAATTCTATTGATTAAATTTATGATCCTATAATTTTTTGAGAACATCTGTTATAGTTTTAATGTTATACTTTCCAACTTCGACCATCTATTCCTTAACAAATTATGATTAATTTATACATCTTATCTTTCTTTTTCTACTTACCATTGATTTTGATCTTATGAGAGAAATTCTAGACAGTCTTGAATTTTCTATCTTTTAAAAATTTTAATGAGGTTAGGGAAGATTGCTTCATCAACAGCTTTGGATTAAGCCAAAAGCCCATACAAATCTCCAACCTAGGTTTTTAAGCAATTCATTTTTTTTTTAAATAATATTGAATTTCTGTTACTTTATTGTGAAGTTTTATACTATAAACTCAAAAATAACTTGTATATTTTATTGGAAAGAAAAAATAAGAAAAGTTGCTGACGTAAAATATTATAGTGACAATTCACATTCACATTGACATGGTACTTGATGAATATAGAATAAATATATCCTATTTTGGAAACCTTATCAATAATACTCGTTTAACCTCTTATAAAAGTAATTATTAAATCGAGGGTTCAAATTTATCAGTTAATTTCATTAAAATTAGTTTTTAAAACTTATACAAGATTTAGTTGATTAAATAAGA